TGTAGTGATTGTGAGAGCGCTGGTGTCAGTGTATCTACCTGAGGCCCTGGAGTCTGCTGTTGATGGTCAGCCTCCTTCAAGGCGATGTCTTCTCCAGAAGGGGTTTGCCAGCTTGTCCTTCTGTCTAGGTAGGTCAGGTGCTGGATGAGAGGGCGCCCCAAGGAGGTCACACTCTACCACTCCATTTTTAGAGGTGGGCTACCTGTGACTCCAGTGGGAAGGACATGCCCAGGCAAGGACCAGTTCTGTTTGGATGAGGTCATGCTGTTCCAGGTGTCCTCATTGTCCAGTGGGATACAATGGTGGAGTTGCTGGTTTCTATTCTGTTCTTTGTTTCCATGTTGCTGGTTTCTTGGAGAGCCTTTATCTTTCAAATATTGGGTTTTGTCTCTGGTCCTGGCACTAGGTATGTGTTTTCAGGGAGAGTCAATGTAAGGTCTGTCTGGCCATTAAGTTGATGGCCCGGTCATTCAGCAGGAGCTATTTTTAGGCCTGCTACCATTATGTCTCAAGCACTCTCATTCATCCAGGAACCAATTTACATAGGACGGGTAGGTATGAATCATAGTTGCAACACAATTATAGTAGGGTATGCCCAGGCAAGAGACACAAAATGGAGACTTGACATTACAAGATGGAGACTTGATATTACTTTGGCTACTTTACAGAAACAGGCCTAAAACATACAATATCAATATAAAACAGTAAACATCAATACAAACATAATAGGAATACAATATAAAACAGTAAAAATCAATGAAAAATAAAATGATTTACAGTGATATATGGACAATATAAAAGGGGCTTGTTACAGTAGTGGCATACAAAACTTGTCCTGTGTTTTAACTTAACTATGGCTTATAATAACTACTTATAGGGGATAGAGAGGGCAGGTAAAGAGTCAGAAATGGTTGGGGAACAGGAGGGGAATGTGTTTTTATATTAAAAAAGAAAAAATGGGGGTTTAGCTACGAAGCATGGGGAATGAGGAGGAAGAATTGGAGGTCCTAGTACAGCCAGGGGATTAAGATGTAGTTGAGAAAACACAGAGATGATGTGATAGTTCACATGACTGGAGTACTGCTGTAGATGGATTTAATTTGTTCAGGAAGGACAAACAGAGGAAAAAGAGAAGTGTTCACATGTTGTCCTATATATAAAGTTTTGGTTGTAGTTATGTTTGGTCTAAGGACATAGGCAGATAAGGTTCTTTGGGTAGATGTGATATCTTTTATTAGACCAACTAAATAGTTGGAAGAATTGTTCTTTGCAAGCTTTTTGGAACAAACACCCTTCTTTAGGTATAGGGAGAGTTTTGAGTATAGTAGTCATTGCATATCCTTCCTCTAACACCAGCTTTCACCTCTAATAGCAGACAGGATACTCACCACAGTTTCCACGTAAATAAGATAGCAGAGTTTAATGAGATGTTGAAGATGCAACAGACATTATTTGATGTTCATAAATTGACTCAATATTAAAAGGATGTATAAACAGGATGCAGGCATGATTATTTCCCAAAATATGACATTATAGAAATGCATAAGTTGGGGGACACATTGTAAAGCACACAGCTATTCTGAAACAGCACCACATTCAGAAGTTTCTAAGTTTGAGGACTGCTGCCATTGGCGATGTGTAGGGGGTGCACATGCACCCCCTGCGATTGGCAGTGCACCCCCTGCAAAAAGTGCTATTGACACTGCCAGCGGCACCTGTGGGCAGTCGCTGCTCGCCACCCGCCTCTCGCCGCTGCTGCTGCCGGTGGTGTCTGTAGGTGGTCGCCGATAGCTGGTTGGCACTCGCTACCCTCCCCGCACTGCTGATACCACTGCAGCTGCCTGTGGGAGCTCCCCACTCACTGCCATGCCCCCACTGCCGACACTGCCACCACCTGCGCGTGGTCACCATACCCACCCAGCCTCCAGGGGCACTTGGTGTTCATGACTGCTGCAGTAGAATTATGATCAAACAGGCTGCCTAGATTCAGACCAGTAGATATTCATTGCTGGATTGTACAGATTTTGCCTTTTAAATCTATAACTGCAGAAAATGTGGTGTTGTGGGGTTTTTTTGTAAAAACATGACTACAGATTCAAGCTGTATTTAACATAAAGCACAATAGCAAAAAGATTTATTTGAAGCTGTGTCTATAGCTATGGTTGTTTTCTACTTCTTGACTCTTTTTCTCTCTTTAGATGTAGCACAACAGAGACACTGATCTTCAAAATAATACCAGAAACAGAACATATATCCATATGAAAAAGTAAAAAAAAAAAAAAGCCTTAGTTTTGTGGTAACCACATAGTATTCACACAGAAAGCTTACCCTAAGGATCTTTGTAATAACTTGATTGTAAATAAATTGTTGGCTCACGACTTGCTTACAACAGTAGGCTGAAGAATCTAGACTAGAGGCTGTTCAACAAATGATTTAACAAAAGCAAATAGGGAGAGCAGAGAAACTTCAAAGAACAATGCACATATACTGTAGCTGTGAATATGTGCTATGGTCTCAGTTTTTGCTTAAGTAACACATTTCCTTTGTTTCACAGGTTCCATGAATTGCAGTGGAAACCAGTCCATTTATGCAAGGATGGAATTTAGCCCTTCAATTATTTTTTAAAGCATATTATCCAATGCCCAAATCACACAACTAAAAATATTGCCTGGCTTGTCCCAAATATATACATGTATACACACACACATGGCTTTATATAGATATATATACACACACATTTATACATCAGTGTGTGTGTGTATGTACAGATGTTTTTGGGACACAGCAGGCAGTATTGTTAGTATTATGTTGTATATATATCATATTTTAAGTGGAAAAAAAATTCCTAATCCTTCAGGTTTTTTCATAAGTTTCCCTGTTCATATCAAATGCCTTTTTTTCAAAATCTTACCTTTATTTCTTTTATCATTAATTACCTAGTTCTGTAAACATCTAATAAAAAAGGCCTTGTTACTGAAATGTTCAGCTATCATATGCTTTAATTATCCACATGGATAAGTATAGTATAAATATCTAGATGTGGATCAAGAGTTTCTTGATTCAGCATAGAATGGCAGTGCATTGTTAAATGTGACAGGCAAGAGTTTGGGTGTAATGTCTTTTATTGGGCCAACTACATGGTTGGGATAGATTTAGTTGATTGATAGGTAGATAACTCTACCTTGGGATAGATTTAGACAAGCTTTCAGGTATCACAGTACCCTTTCTCGTGTCACATTATTAGATGGCTGCTGCTTTGCTATTTAGTTTGACATTCTTTAATACTTGTAATGAAATACTCTTCCAGATTTTGCAATCATATATGTCTTAATGACTTTCTTTTGTAGTTTCAAATTAAGTTGCAGTTATCTAATCTCTTTTCGTTTCAATTGATTCTGTGTATTTATATTTTTTTCCTTTTATTTCTTTAGCAGACACCATTCCTAGGAGACCACAAGGATCATTATTGTTCAGGATTTCAAAGAGCTATCATTTATGTTTGTGGACACAAGTGAACGGACAATGGTGCCCCAACCATCTGTTCAAGCTGTTTGAAAGAAACGCTTCTGTACAAATGGCATGAAAGGTAATTTAACCTCAGAAGATCCCTTGGAGAGCTTTATTTCTACTTAATATCTTATTCTTTCCCTTCCTTAAACAAACAAACAAAACCCCCCTTCAAACCCAAAACTTCATAGATTCTCAGTTTGAAGAGCTGTTAATCATACTAGCTAGTTCTGGTTTCTAAGTAAAAAAGGTTTATTTCTTCTAAGTAGAAAAGAGCTCTCTGAGATAAATGGGAGATGTCTTATAAGTGGTCTGCTTGCTGTAGGGGGTCATTGTGTTTAATGATTTGTTTCTTAAAACTGAAGTAGTAAGTAATCGGGAAGTGCTGAGTAGTGGTGTGGAAGATATACACTTTCATCATGTTGAATCCCTGTTAGCCATGACACTATTGTTATCCAAGTAAAGCATTCAGTATACTCTTAAAGTAAGGGAAGCTTTCTCTGGTGATGGGAAAGAATGCCCTTTATACTGTCATGAAAATTATGAATTCTCTCCCAGGCTGTTCTACTTTTCCCTACCATCATCAAGTAACAGTTTTGCAGTCTAGTCTTGCATCCCCAGCTGACCTAGACTAACATATTTTATAAGCTGAATCCACCTTCAGTTTATCTCAGTAGAGGATCTAAAATAGTAAGAGTTAAATCTCTACAGTAATAGTAAGAGGGGAAGATGGGATGTTTCCTTTCCAAACATAAGTAAGTGTTTCAGGGACAGGGAAGAAGAGCCAGATTGTGAGCTCATTGGATGTAAACTGCTGCGTCTTTGTTGACTACAGTGGTTAACAGTATTGTCGGCAGAAGGTGGCTTCAGTTTTGTGAGGCATACCGCAAAAAATATACTCCAACCTTAACCTCTTTCCCTATTAAGATTGTTTTCTAGCACCTCTATTCCTAATTTCCTGAATGTCCGCTGCAGCATATTAGAACAGTCTCTCTCTCTTTCCTTCCTGTCTCTTATATCCTTACATCTTTTCTTCTGCATCGATGTGAATCTACACTGAGATTTGAGGAAAGTAATGCTGGAAGGCTGGTATCCCTTCTGGAGCAGGATTAAGGTGGCAGTAAAAGTAGTTTGAAATATGGGGGTTGTAGAGTTGAACTATTATGTGCTGTTGGAAACCTCATTTTTCATTTATTTTAAAGTTGTGCCTTACATTATGTTTAGACAAACCTTAATTGATGTACAACTCAGTGGGGTTTTTGTATTCATTTCTCTGTGTTTCTTAAAGAATTTTAAACAATACAGGGTTTTCTTTAGATAGATCTTGTTCTGCAGTAAAGGAGCTGCTCTTATGTTAAGGATCTTGCTCATAATTAAACATTTCCATTAGTTCAACAGCTCAGCTCCTCAAAATATAAGTGAATTTTTTACTTGGGTTCACTAACCTAAATTAGCTAACATGAGTTAAAGTGTCTGTGAAGGCAAGGTACCTTGCAGGTTATTAAGCTGAGATAAAACTTAGGTACCACGGCCTGAAAAACTGCTACTTTTGTAACATGTCTTCGATTTAAGACTTTAAGTCACAAAAATGGGTGATAAGGAGAAGGACCCCCCTACTTCATGCATTAATGGATTTTCATGAATGTGCATCCAGTGAAATAGGATTGTATTTAAACTCACTGGGGGTGTCCAGATGAGTGTGTATGTGCCTCTTGTGATGTCTCAAACCAATTTACCAGTTTGAGACACCTCAAGAGGCACACTAACAATGAAAAAATGTGAAAAAATTTGATACTTGGATTTCCAGAAAAAAGCGGCATAGGGTACGGTTCCCCACCATGTCTTGAGGCAAGTTGGGCCTCGGACCTCCAGAGACACCCTGGCATCCAGCCAGAGCATATCTGTGGTACCCCCTGCTGCCCTAGCACCCTGCTTTTGCATGCAGGGCAAGCAGGAGCAGCATAAGGCTGTGACCCAGGCGCTGTCCTCAGTAAGTAGGGATTGGGGGGGGGGCTGTAGATCCATGGGGGTTGTGTGGGGGTGGGAACCTGGTTGGGGGGTGTGGGTCCCCCACAGGACCCACAGCCCCCCCCCCCACACCAGCAGTGGCTGTGGGGCGCTTAGGGCCCTCTGCAGCCAGAGCCCTCAGCAATGTGGTCCCAGTCGCCTCGGAGCCTATGCTGCTTTTCATGGGGCTGGTGTGGCATGGTGTGAGGCCATGTGGCTTCAGGCAGCACCAGTGCCTCTCGAGCTGTCACCCAGGACCTGGCCCCACTTACAGGGACTGCGTGTTGCAACGGGCTGGGTCCTGCCTCCATGGAACTGGCCTGACCCGACAGCATGTGGGGCCAATGGAGGCAGGACCCAGCCAGGCATGACATGTGGTCCCTGCAAGCAGGGCTGGGCCCCAGGTGACAGCCTGAGCGGCCCCAGTGCTGCCTGAAGCTGCACGGCCACGCGTTGTGCCACACCAGGCTGGCCCCACATCAGGCAGTACAGGCAGTGCTGGATCTGAGGCGATCAGGGTCACCCCGCGCCGCAGGGGGCTCTGGCTGCAGTGGTCCTGAGAGCCCCATGGCTGCTGCTGCTGCTGTGGGGTTGTGCTGTGGGTCCTGTGGGGAGGGGTACTGTGAGCCCTGTGGGGTGGCAGTCTGTGTGCTGTGCGGGGGGTCTGCACCCTGTGGGGGGTCAGGAGACCAACCCCTCCCGAGCAGCCCCCCCACACAGTGCCCTACACCCACTGTTCCCCCACAATCCACCCACAGCACCCACATCTCCAAGACACCCC